CTGGCTGTGACATGCATTTGATATCAGGAAAGTCACCTCTGCTTCAGTTGCACTAAATGTCAGCTAAGCATTTACATAGCTACGTGCCTATTTGGTGTATTATGGGAGAATGTAGATAGGGCTGCTCTTAAGAAAAATTACATTTACTTGAGCCACCTCTCCCTCACCTTACCCAGACCTGGAGAACATTTGTTATGTGGATCTCTTTCTTCTCCCAGGTAAAAACCTGGTGGTAGGACAGAATCTGTTGAAGTCATTCAAAGGCACAAATTACTAATAACACAATGTGCTACACTCATAGAGAGTTTTTTGTATTTTAAAAGAGATAAAAAGTCTTAACCCAAAGGAATTGATTGCCATTTTGAAATTTTAAGTACCAAGTTGCAGATGGCAGACATATGTTTTAAATAAGATATGGAATAGAAATGGGGAGGTATCTTCTGAAATTATGCCAGGTAAATAACCCTATTCTATTCCAGATATATTTGAGTTTTGGTTACTTGATATCAACACAGATGCTATAATAGAATTATAATTGCAATATTAATGTTTAAATGACTTTTAACACTGAATAACTTTTAAAATCCTCAAGAGGAAATATTTCCAAATCTTAAATTAGCTGGAAGTTTGGTTAAGAGCTAGGGTCAACTGAGGTCACTAGACAAAAAGCTAAATTTAGAGGAAAAGCTAAATTTAGAAAAAATCTGTGCAGATGAACTCAGGGTCAATGATTTCTAAAATATTTTCATTTATTTCCTCTTGATAAGTAGTATAGTTTGATGCAAGTAGTTTAGCTTTCAATAAATGCAGGTTACCTAGTTTCCTGATTCATTTCTTTTGATACTGAAATAAGCCAAACATTTACATCTGCTCAGAAATGATTTCAGGTGGTTTTTTATTCTAAGCATGTCCTGTATATTTTTAGTGGTTACAACTTTTTCTCTCAGATAGCATACATACAGTTCATTACCATTTTTGAGAAACCCAAACATTTATGCAAGTTGAGTCTAGGTTGAGGATGCAAGCTGTTCATTTGGGATATCTGCCACCGCCACCAGGCAATAAACCCGGGATTTGTCTTTCACATTAGTCAACCAAGTGAGTTTTTACTAACGTCTGTAAAGTCTTTTTTAAGACTTTATTTCCATGAGAAGTTTTAGGTTTACATAACAATTGAGCAGAAAAAGACAAGCCATTTCTACATACCCTCTCACCCTACATACCCCCAGTTTTTCCTACTATTATCATCTTGCATTAGTGTGGCACATATATCACTATTCATGAACAAAGACTGAGACATTATTATTAGGTAAAGTCCACAGGTTACACTGGGTTTCACTCTTCGTGTTGTACATTCTATGGGTTTTTACAAATGCGTGATGGCATGTGTCCACTGCTGCCATATCGTAGACGGTAGTTTTACTGCCTTAAAATTCCCCTCTGTGGCACTCATTTATCTCTCCCTCTCTTGCCCTACCTCTCCTAGCCCCTTGCAACTCCTGGTCTTTTTACCGTCTTGATAGCTCTGCCTTTGACTATAGGTTTGTAACTTTGCAGATAAGACAGGAAACAATTTAGCTAGGATGGTGTCATAAAGGTGAAACAGAGGGGATTTAAAGATTTACCATAAAACACATTCAATTATAGCTTGGGAACGACACTATTTTCATCAAGAATAGATGCTTTTGTTTACTTTTTATTCAACTAATATTAATTGATAACCTAGTACATGCCAGCACTGTCTTAGCTGCAGAGATAACAGTGGCAAGCAAGGCAGATGGGGTCTCCGCCCTCCAAAACTATACACTTCAATTGAGGGGTAAAGGAGAACAGAAATTAAACAAAAAGTCAAAATAGTTTTCAAGATTGCTAAGTAGAATGATGGGAATGAAAGTTATGTGATAAACTGAGAGGTGGGGGTCAGTGGATAGGGACAGCTTCTCTGAGGAGATGAAATTTGAGCTAAGAATTAAATAATATGAAGCGACTATCCATGCAAGAAAGAAGACCTTTCTAGGCAGAAGAAACCACAAATAAAGTAGCCTGGAGATGAGAACAAGCTTGCTGGTCTGACTGAAGAAAGGAAGAAAGCCCATTTGACATAGGGAGTGAACCAAGCAGAGAGTGTGAAGGTGGGGCTGGAAGCCGCAGGTGGATGGGCAGGCCAGGGGACATCCTGGGTCTCCCCGCGGGCCACGGTGAGGAGTTTCCATTTTATTGTAATGGGAAGCCACTGGAAGATTTTCAAGCAGGAAAGTGACATGATCTAGATTATGTTTTTAGATGATCACTCTGGATCTACAGGGTATCTTAGGAGACATCCTTAAAATAAATACTAACACTAACACACTGGAAGTATTAAAGATGCCAACCAATGCAATGCAAAGCCTAGAAAGTAAAAATGGCATTTTGACATCCAGGCCAAGGTCATCATGACATGTATCTGTCCCTACCCATCCCACTCCCTAAAAAAAACAACCAACAGAGATGTCCATAGTGTTTTTGATCCCATCCACGGTCCACTGAGATTACCATTTGGTAAGAGGATATTTAATATACTCAAACCCCTAACAGAATTAAAAAATCATTCTGTAGGAAACTATAAATGAAGACATCATTACAAACATTTCTGCTTTCCACTCTAGCTTTTTACTTAAAGTTTTGGAAAACCATACTATGCCTGAAATTAAAAATTGTGTTTTGAAAATACAAATGAGAAATGGCTGATGTTCAGATTTGGCTCCAGCAGATAAAACTGGAACAAAACACCACTGGGCACTTGGGGGTGTGAAATGGAAGTTGGCCAACCGCAGCCCAGGTGCTTGTCTGCCTGTTACAAGCCCAGCTCCAGGGGGCCAGGCTCCCCTCTCAGTAATAATTTTTCTTTCTTTGCTTTAAAGGGAATTGAAAGAATAAGTGATTTCTACTGTCTGTCTCTATGGCAACTACTACCCTAATTTCACCTCTTAGATGGCAATTATACCTATTCACTGAATAGCTTTCAGTTCCTACTTTTATGATGAAAAATTGATTTCATGAAAAATGAGATATAAGCAAGGGAACTTGTCCCCCAGCAACCATGAAGTACAGTTTAAAAGAGGTACAATCATTCATAAGCAGACTACACTCTGTGGGGTCTGTTCTGTCACAGTTGCAGGATGTGTATCCCAAATGTCTTTCCTCTACTTGATTTTTAATGATAAAATATTATTCTTCTTCCTTAACATTTATTTTTATTCAACTGTGAAAATGACTCAGGTTTATTATAAGTCTGGGAAACACAAAAATGTATATAAAAAAATACACAAGAAAATAAAATTCACTCCCCTTATTTAGAAACAATCATTAATAATATCCTGGTAGCATTTTAAATGTGTATACGTATAAACACAGTTTAAATACTACAGAGTATATTTTTGGAACCAGACTTTTTCACAAAATATGGCATGAGAAGTTCTTCACATCATTATATATTCTTCTAATGCACGATTTTAATGGTTTCAAGGGAGCCCATAATATTGTTTACTATATTTTATTTAACCAATCCCTCTATGTTGACAGTTTTAAGTATAAATATTTATGTACAAATATGTTGGCTTAGAATAATACCCTGGAAAGGAAATATATATATATCAAATAAGATAAACATTTTTAATTCTATTGCCAAGTTTTTCCCCTCCTAAATTATATCCATTTATTTTCCCACTAGTGGATGCCAGTATCTACTTTCTTAAATTCTTTAGGAGAGGTACTCTTTAAAAAAAAATAGTAACGCCAATTTAATGGAGAAGTATCTCACTACATTTCTTAACTATCTTTAATTAAAAATTTATTTTAAAGTTAAATATGTTCTTTACATTTCCATTATATTTTTAAGGAAAAGAGGCACATGAATGGTCTGTTCACCTCTGAGACAAAAAGTGTTTGTTATCCCCTGACACCCACTATCCCTCTATTTCTTAGTAACAGAAGAGATGACTCTCAGTTGGACACATAGAAATAAGGACGTTTCCCCTCCTCTTATGCATCTAAGTGTGTCTCCGTATCAACTCCAGGCTGAAATATGAGCAAAAATGATCTATGCTATTTCAGAGAAATATCTTCAAAAGGAAAGGGTATGCCCTATATTTCCTTTTTATCATCCCTATTAGTTGAAAGGTAGATATTACGGTTGGAGCTCCTGCAGCCATTCTGGACCATGAGGACGGTACAGGTTGGTGAAACAGAAAGCCAGAGGAAGCCTAGGATGCTAATAACTTTGGAGAAGTGCCAGCTTGGGTGGCTGTTCTCCAGATTTTAATGTGAGAAAATAAAACTTTGTATTTTTAAACCATGCTTGGCTTGCATTTTTAGTTTCACGAAGCCGAACTTGATCTTGACTAATGTAAGATTTTTCTCCATTTTTTTCTTATCAATTTTTAATTACTCATTCTATTTTAAGGATATTTACTTTATCTGGCTTACACATTACAAATTTTACCAGTTTGTCATTTGCTTCTTAATTTTTTATGGACTAAGAAAATGCAAGAATATAGTTATTCTTAAATTTAATTGCTACGTAAATCCATTATATACTCAGAAAAGTTAAAGAATAACATTAGCTTAAAATAGACATTCCAAAAAAATATTTTGTCCCAACCATCATAAGGCAGCACAGAGGCTTAAGTTTCCTTCCAATGGGTAGGCAATTAAATGGTTTTATTGTAGGCTGAAGTCACTAGATGACGAGATATGTATACTTTTGAGGACTTAATCAATAATTCATTCTTTGCTAAAGCAGAGATTTTCCATTTGCAATCTGTGGAGCTCTGGGCTCACAGCAGAGCCTCGGAGGTCTCCACTGGGGCTTGGGGCAAGCTGAGTGGGCTGGCTCCACCTGCCACCCCAATTCGGGTTTCAAAGGCAACTGCTCAGTGTTATTTATGAGAATTCCAAAAAGAGCCTCTGCAGTATGATTTCCCCCCCACACAGATAAGAAACACAGAGTCATAATTTCCTACCAGATCATAAGCAGCCAGCATCTTTTTCTGCACATCTGGAATTGCCCCCAGAGGCTCCAGATAAGGAAAGTTGTCTTTCATCACAAGCGAAACTGAAGGAGTATTGTCACTGGTGATGAGCCGAGAGGACAGAGTCAACAGGCACTGCTTCAGACTGGCAATTGGAGGAAGTCCACACAGCTCCTTAATAGACACTATGGCGTTCTGTAGGGGAAGAAAACATGGAATTACACTTCTGAGCACAGGACACATCACCCCAGCACTTTGAGGTTTATGCAAAAGTACATTCGTTAAAAGCACACCCTTAAATACATATGTAATTTGAAGCAAACTGCACTGAGCAAAGTGCAAAAATAATGAAGCAAAAATGTTGTGATATGCACAGAGATAACACAGAGTGAATTCACTGTTATACTTCATCTGCCTCAGCTTCGAGCAACTGCCACAAATATGCCACAAAGCAAAGGAGATTATGACCCAAGGCTACACAGTGCTTTTCAAAGCAGAGCACTGGAATATTCACATGAATTTGCATTAGCTGGTCATGAATATCTTATTTGATTTGTATCATGATGATCATAAAAACATGTCAGTGGTTGTACACTGACGCGCATCTGCTTTGAGCTTTTCCCCTCAAGGTAGCAGGCTGTTACTACTCACCACCCGCCTTCGACTAACCATCAGTGGTTTGCCTTTGTTATCCCAACAGAAGTGCACTCGGCAGACACACATACAAAAACACATTTAGTGAAGAGCTGCGTTTGTCTGTGTCACAGGCTTTTTAAAAATCACTTGAAATAAGAATTGTGAGTATTCTGTTGCAGTAACAGTGAACAGTACCTGACCTTACCTGTGCCTGGTGGGTTTAGTGACAGTGACACCATTCATTTCTCTGCTGATTAGGCTCCAAATTATCTTTAACCCAAAATACTTTATGTTGAGATTATGTAAAGTATCAGTACTACCTGGAAAAACTTTATCCACAGCCGAGTCTCCTTAATATAGATTTTAAGTACATAATATATACAAAGGATATATTTCAAGAATTATATAGAAATATATAAAATCTATCTTTAACATGTAATGTTGGCTATAAAATTGACATAACTAATCTAATATAGTGATTTATAGTAGTTATAAAATTATGTCAGAAAAAGTCATTAGACAATGCTACTATTTGGAGCCTATTTTTCAATAATCCTTACAATCTAAGTGTTTATGCATGGTTTATATAATATATTATTTTTTGCCTTTTTGGCTATTTAAAATTGTTTTTAAGCCTATCCCAGAATTCCTCTGTGGAGAACTTTAAAAATAAAGCTTTTACCAAACGATGGGTGAGGGGTTCAGCATCAGGTGACTAAAAACCATGAATGATCATGGGTTTTGCTAGTAGGCAATTCTGGATTTAAAGCCCAACGTTGCTATTTATTAACTGCAATATTTGGGAAATTTCTTAATCTCTTGAAGTTTGTTTTCTATCTTGAAAGTCGGGATTTTTTGGTGAGGGTATTACTCTTAAAATATTAGCTAAAGGAGCAAATAAAGTACATTGAAAATATTCCTCTCCTGTTTTGCTCTCATACATAGACCACTGCCGCTTCTGGGAACCAACACCTTGCACATTGTAGGAGCTTAGTCCTTGTTGTCTCATTGCTTCACAATTACATGAGCCTAGAATAAGTGTATTAAATAGTATTGAAGAAAGAAGTATGCAGCCATCTCTGATTACAAGCATTGATGAACAGAAAAAAAACTAACATTGAACTTCTACATGCTGAATGAAAACTGAGCAATCTATATACACTCTCATTTAATTCTCATGATAACTCTGTGAGGTAAGTATTACTATTTTTTTACCTCATATGAAGAAAACCAATGATGAGAAACATGAAATAATTTCTCAAGATCACAGGGGGAGGGAGTTTAATCTAGAATCTATATTCTTTCAATTAAACCGTTAAACTACATTTCTAAGAGAAGACTAAATCGTTTTTGATGAGTTCATTTTTGTTTGTTTAGTTTTATTTGCTATTGTGGGGAATAATTTATTATTGCTGTACATTTAAACAACAACAAAATTATTTGGGTATTTGGAGATGATACATTTGATTTTTTTTAAAAACTGTTTTCACTCCATACTCAAGATGTGCTTCACTGTCAAGTGCATATTTAGTTTAGGTTCTTGAATTGTAATGTTGATCTGCTGCTTTTTTAAAAAAATAAAATTTAACTGAAAATGTTAAAAAAAATCAAATAGGCATTTCACCTGATTTATAGGATTCCAAATTCCCTTCCATGCTCATATCCACAAATATTTTATATATACAGTTGTAATTATTATGCACGTGTTTGTATACATATTTTATATATTACACACACATATATTTTATATTCTATTCTTTTCACATTTCATATATACACCCCCATATATCAGTTTGTTATGTACTAGGGATATTTAAAAGTTATGGAGCATTTGCTACATTGATAGTCCATTAACTGGCTTACTGCAGGGCAAATTTAATACAGTACTCACAATTGGAAATATAAAATACATCTGCTTTATCAGGGGCAAAATTAAATTTAATTCAGTGGTATTGGGTATATACCACCTTTCAAATAATTATCTGGGGAATCAGATCATTACTAAATCAGAATATTCCCTGGTAAGGGTAGGGTCAAAATAAATAGGATTTTTCCTACCTGCATATTTTCTCTCATATCTATGGCTTCTCGTAAGGGATGAACAGCTATTTTAAAGATGTCATCTATGGTTTTCAGACCAATATTCCTGAGCATGGTATACTCTCGAACCTTCTTCCCCATTCGCACTGAAAGACTGCGCTTCTGTGCCTTTCCTCCTCCACTTCGATTGGTTATTGCTATGTGGACAAAAAGAGTTACATGCTCCATGATGTCACCCACAAAAGAGCGCAGGGGAACATGTCGATATCCAGGCTGCAAACACTCAAACGGAATTGTGTATTGCCCTATAAACTCATCCCCAATGTAGTCATCATCCAGAACAACAAAGCGGATCATGGCCAGCTCAGGTAGGTTAACTTGAAACTCAAAAGTTTCATCAAAAATAGGATTATCACTGTTTTGTTGTACAGTTTTAGTTCTTTGTTCTGCACAGTCTGCTGGTATTCCATGTATCTCTATACAAACATAGGGATCTATGACATCCCCTTTGGCACAAGCTCCCTTGGGCTTTGGGAAATTCTGGCCACTGATGATCTTGATGTGAAGAGCTAGAGGAGACACCCCGGGGACAATGCCCTTTGTATTCGCACTGAAGTAAGAAACCTCGTCCCGCATGATGGATGGCCTCAGGATGTACCCGCATCCTCCATTTTGGAGAAACCAGCCTGTGTAGAGGTCCATCATGGGCCCCGGAGTCTGAAAATTCATTGCCACAATCTGACAGCCACAATTCCAGAAGTCCTGTGGATTCAAGTTACTGGAATCAATCCTCATAGCACTTGGATAGATTCTTGATAAGAACTTCTTATTATAATTCACAAAATCCTCTGGGTATTCATTGGCAATTCGGCTGGCCTCTGTTTCACTAAATGAACAAATTTCCCAGTAGTTTTGGCTTTTCATAGACAGTTCAAAATCCCTGTACTGAACAGATTTACAAATAGATACCAAATCAGAGAGCTCTCTACACAGCCAGATTTGTTTCTGCTCACCATTGTAATCTACTGACATCCTTCGAGACATTTCAGCTTCCTCATCTTCATCAGTTACTTCTCCTTCTAAAGCATCTGAACCAGAAGGCAATTTCTTTCCCTTCACAATGATCATTCTTTTTAATTTTTCTGGTGATGGGAGGTAGGATTCTGACAGCAAGGGTGCTTCGGTGTAGAGTTTAGTGCCAAAGACCTTTTTCATCTGTTGAGCCATTACCTTCTGCTGTGGTATGGAGCAGTGATTCCCCAAGCACAGAATGAGTGGGTATTCAGAAGCAACAAAGGCAAATTTGTTTATCACCTCTACGACACTTCGAAAGGAAAGGTGTGTTGTCATGTTATTTCGATTACAAAGGATGGGTTCATTATCTGGACCATCACTTACATCGAGTTCAATGCTTCGACAGCCCATTTTCAAAGCTCTAACATACCCATTAATATCAGCAGGCCCCCGGAACTGGTCTTCTGTGAGATAGGTATTGTGAGAGGCACTGATGTAGTAGTGAGATAACGGCTGGGTCATATCTTGGGCGACCTTTTTTTGCTCAGGATCAAAAATATCACATTCTGGTGACAACAAATACTGGGTAAAGCCATCAATTGCAAGAAATCCTTTCTGACGTCCCTCTTCAGAAAATTCATATCTCCGAATAATGTCTAAGCACATATCCTCAGTGATATGAGCGACTCCTTGCTCAGCTTCTAAAAAGAGCATCAGGTCATTGGCATCCAAATATTCTTTGTTTTTAGATATCTGTACCAGTAAGAAATACACTTCTGGCCTGGTGCAAAGTTCACAAAAAGCTTCACAAAATTCCTCTTCTGTCACTCGGGTGGTTAGCTTTTCCTTGCTCTTCTGGATTTCTTTAAACTTTAACCTGATCTTGGATTCCTTCAGGGTAGGGTTGAGTTGTTTTATTAACTCCACAGAGGTGTCTTCCAACATAATCCCATTCCCATCAACATCTGCTGCTTGGAACACTGTTTTCAACCACATGAACCTGGGTGTGTTCTGGTTGCCCTCCATAAAATCAAGGGGTTGCTTACTTCGAGAAACCAGGTACCGTAACCCTGACACCCAGATGTTTGCAACATCTGCTGAATTAGCAACTAGGTCCAGAGACTCGTAGTTTTCCCCATGGAGTATAGAAAAGGCACAGTCCTCACAAATTTGGTCAGCAAGGCCATTGTTTCTAAATGTTTCTGTGTTCTTCCCCAGTCTGATCTCTTTAATGGCAGAAATATCAAGCTTAGCTTTCTCGAGATCTTTCTTGGACGGTTCCCACCGGAGAGCTTGGAGGTCTGGGTCCAGAGTGAAAAAACGGTTGTAAATGCGAGAATTGGGCCGGACTTTCTTCAGCTCACAGCCAGCTTGCATGAAGCTGATGCAGTCGCTCGCGCTGCTGATCTTCTTCTCCGATGGCATGCTGCTGAAAGACACGGTTTTCTTCCTTCCGCCGCATTTTTGGTTTGATGGATCCTGTAAAATAATTTGAAAATAATCAATCAATTTACTTTAGAAAAACGCAAATTCAGTGGCATTCTGAAATCCTTAAACTCCATTCAGATATTATCATTATTTGGAGAGAAGCTAGCTTTAACTTTACCTTTTCGCTGTTTTAGAAAAGAGAGATTGTTGAGAAAATTGATATTGTTAGGTTCAGGAAAAAACATATTTTTCAAATGCCTGTGTGTTCTTTGAAGTAAAATGAAGTAGTTAACTATAAATCATTTATTTGCTCATTAAAGCAGATTTTGTAAGAAACTCTACATGTTGGTACTTCGACAACTTCGGAATGTCTTTACAGGTACGTGAAAGAAATAAAGGTGGATTTCCCTGAAAAGTTTTCCTTATTTATGTTTTGCAACAGTTTAAGTTTTATACTTAAAACTAGTTCAAATAAAAAATTTTAACCTTCACATACTTTACATCATAAAGAGCTTACAATATAACCTAACTAAAAATTAGTTTCTTCTGGCAGATGACAAAGGACTTACAATAAAGCTTGGCTAAATTTTTTTTCTCAAACTATTTTGAAGAATGTAAGTGTCTTGGAAGTCAGAGTGAGAGCTAGCAGTAGACACATGACTCTCATTTGAGCAAACTTGCGGATTGAGGTAAACAGTTTAAATGAATATTATGAGAATTCACACCTGCGTCTCGGTATAAGGGTATTAGTAGTCACAGCTTAAAACCAAACAGAAATATGAATAGCTCCACTAACTTTTACAGTTGCTTCAATGTAAATTAAATTTCAAAGGCTTCTGCCATAAGATTTCATGGGAACGCTTGCACCTTGCCTTTTCCCTGTATCTGTTAAGTGCTCTTGGAACTCAGTCTCAGGGCCCCGGTTACCTCAGACCATTTCACCCTCCCCTGACCAAAGCCAACAGGGCATTGAGTTTCCTCCATTCAGATTAATGTGCCTTATCCAGGTTAATTATTTCTTATGGCTATTTCTTTCTTGGGTGTGTCTAAGCCCTCTCTATTGTCTTTCCTAAATTATAGGTCCATTCCTCTAAATACTCATACTAATACTCAGATTTCATTGTTAGCCCCAGACTGCACTATCGCTCCCAATTCATTTACACTGATCATCTGACCAATATCACTTAAACTGGATATTTCTTTATATTTTCCTCTGTTCCGACCATAAACTCAAGTTAATAATGCTTCCAACCACCATCTCGTTGATTCAGCTAATTCTCCCAGGAACAAATTTCCCAAAAGCACCATGATGCATGTTTACTTTGCCCAATTTTATAAGCATATCAAAGAGGGCAGCAAAGTATTGATTACAAAAGGCATTGTCCTTAAGGCGAAAATAACTAGTCTCAACTTGTAATTATTCCACTCACTAGATATATGACCTTTGTAAGTAACTTAGCTTCCCTTTCCAAGTCATTATTTCTGTTTTTAAATAGAAATTAATAATCCTTCTATATAATAGAGTGTTATTGTACGATTCAAAAAAAGAAAATGCACATATATTGTTTGTAAACTCTAAGTGCTTATAAGGTCATTCTTTCCAAAGGAAGAGGAACATTTTCTCACATATCTGGTCATTGGACAGCCTTCAGTAGGCACCAACTAGGATATTGGATGTTATCAGGAAATTGATCACTTAATTCTGACCTCTGAGCATCTAAGACAAATTTTCAGTGATAAACTGAAGTGTTTAAAAACAGCCACATGGAACTACCATTTTAAACACTGAAAAGTATAGCCAGGGTAGTCTAGGTTGTCTCCTGCACAGCATCCTTTTTAAAACAAGGTGGAATCTCTTCTCTAAGGCCTCATTTAATTGTGGTCTTGCCTATAACAGCCTTCCTGTTCCTATGATTCCGGAAAAGACAGAATGATGTATTAGTCAATTGACTAAAACCTTGCTTGTGAAAAGGAAACAAATTTTGCTTTGGTTCTAGAACATTGGTGGGATGGTCCATTAACTCCAATATATATCTATTTCCAGTGGCAAAGATATAAATTACCCAATTTAGATTACAGAATATTGCCTTTTGGTGCCCTGGCATTTAAGAAATTTGCTCTTGCTTTTCCAGAGAGTGTTATTTTTAATTATCCCATAGTGGTCAAATTCCTCACCCTGAAGTTAAAAACAACTATTTATACACAGATGCACTGTTAGAACACATTTAAATTCATCATGGCCCACATGCTCAGAAATACCATGACACTTGTGTGTATTTTTTCACACCACCAAGGCAGGCACCTAATGGCACCGCCGAGACGGGATTAATCTAGCAAGTAAAATAAAGAGGGAAACTGTGAATTGCGAGGGTAAATTAGACTGTGACTCAGCTTTTAATGCTACCATTTGACTAGTCATTTAAGCTAATGAGAGCTTTCACATTAAAAATTATTTTTATATAAGGAGACCATGTTCCAAATAAGATTATTGTCAAGACAGTCATAAAAGCTTTAATAGTTCCTAACAAACTTTAAATGGGAGATAAGTGTTCTTTTAAGAACATGTCTATGGTTCCTGTACCCTATGCATTATTATGTGTTGTTACACCAATCTTCACAGTCTCATATTCTATTCTTGACTTGAGCCACTCTTTGTTTATGAGAACAAAACTATTGCTGTCAAGAGATTTTTTTTAAAAGTCTCTCTTCTTTTTGGTGATATCTCCTTAAATCAATACACTTTCTCTCCTAGTAAGTTAAGCCTTCAAGAGATAAATGTTCTATATCTAGCCTACAAAAGAATCCACCTGCCCCGTAACACTTCTTGCTTGCTTTGACCTGTAATTCCTGCATGATGATAAAACATATCTCAAGATGCCTTACAACTTGGAACCAGTAGAAAAGATATGATCTTAGGTTGTCATCTCACAAAGGACAAAATCCAGAGTTATTACAGAGCTCCCAAATGAGAAAAAAAAACTGATCATTGCACAGGTTAACAAATAATTAGCTTGTCTGCTGTTGACTAGAGGAAGATTACTTCCATTCAAAATATGCTAGAAAAGTTCCAGGACTCTGATACTTCTGGAGATCTGTTCTTTCAGTGGTCCCACTACCCATTCACTCTGAAATGTTGGGAGGAGGGAAAATGGAAACTGTTAGAGTGGACAGGGAAGATGAACGACTCCAAATCTCCTGAGTTTCTTCACCACCATGACTCCTTTGCCAAACCCTATACTCCAATTCTTGATTTCCTTCAAGAAGATCTTGGCACATTGTTGGTGCGGAAGGAAGACTGTTCAGTAAACAGACAAGGTACATCCCCAATTTTTAAAAGTTGACATATTGGTTATAGATCCTTTTTGTTGATAAATACAAAAAAATTGATGATGAAATGAGAAAAAATCTATTGCAGTTTTATCTACATATTGAGAAGACAGATACTTTTTGCACATTCAAAGAGAAACTAAGTTCATTATCAGCTCAGGTGTGCTCTTAACTGCATATATTGGGTTGGCCAAAAAGTTCCTTTGTTTTTTTCTGTAAGACAGCTCTAATAGCACTTGGCTGTCTTTAGCTTCATTCAAAACAACTGTTAGTTTGTAATGTGACAGCTGTCATATCAGTGTGCATTTAAAAAAATCAAAATTGGTGACTCTTTGTGTAGCCATTTTAATATTGAAGATGGAAGATAATACACATTTTTAGAATATTATGCTTTATTACTTTAAGAAAGGTAAAAACGCAATTGAAATGCAAAAGAATAAAAAAGATTGTGCAGTGTATGGAAAAGGTGCTGTGACTGATCAAACATGTCAAAAGTGGTTTGTGAAGTTTCATGCTGCAGATTTCTCACAGATGATGCTCCATAGTCAGGTAGACCAGTCAGTTGACGTTGATAGTGATCAAATCAAGATATTACTTGAGAACGCTCAATGTTCTACCACATGGGAGATAGTCAACATGCTCAAAATATTCAAATCAATAAAATTATTGATGAAAATGAACAATGTGTCTTTTATTCTACGGAAAAACACTAAACAGATGTTTTAGCCAACCTGATAGCTCATTAGATGATTATTGACTCCAGTGACCATAAGTTCTATCCAGAAGGTTTTTATAAAGTACAAGAGTTTCCTGTTTATCTCAGGGCTAAACTTTTTCTACTCTAGAATGAAGGGAGGATACTAAAGTACCAATTCCACCCAAAATTTATCTTAAATCTGCTTGCCAAAAGGAAGTTTAAATTTATTACGATGAACAACACGTTGTGATGTATCTGTCCCCTCAATTAAAGCTCAGCCTTGTATTCTAGTGGGGTCCAAGAATAAGTCAGGCATGGAGCTCAATCCTATTTCCAGACACTCTCTGCTTAAGTTTCCAAATTATCATTTCACGAAAATGAATCACTTTTAAAGAAATTACATAATAGAACAAATAAACAAAAAATTTTGTTTATATGGTCTCTGAAAATTTCCAAATAATACTTTTTGACCTACTGTCTTCTTAAATTAATCAATACTCTATATAAAAGGTTTCATCATTAGAATCAAGAAGTTCTATAAACAATAATGCAGTAGGCAAATGTTTTGCTCTTATTGAAAACAATATAAGACATTGATTTGACTATGAACACTGTTTCTACTATATTCATATCATAAAGATGATTTCTGTCTAATCGCATGATATAAGGGTTGATTTCTACATTATCTTAGAAGTAACTTCAATATACTAAGTGGAATTGTACAAATGTTTTAATTTTCATTATTTCCTACGACATGGTTGCTTATCTACTATTAGAATTAAGATAACAATCATAATTAAATGAGATTCCTATACAATAGTAAAATCTTTACAGCTCCCTCAAATGCTTTATTAAACTAAAATTGGAAAATAAATATTCAAATAAGCCCAACTAATCAGTTTGTTTTCATAAGTTCCCATGGGCTTTTCTCCTAAGACCAATGTGGTTGGATATGCTGCAAGTTCTTAACGAAAACTCAACAAACAAATCTTTTTTCCTCACATGACAGATTGATAAGCCCCAGAGA